CCTAAAAACACCCAGGTTTAGAAGCCTCGCCCTAGAGTTTACGACGCGGAGAAACGAAACCCGGCCAAAAAGAGGACGTAATCTCGCTAAAGAGAAATTGATCTTACTCCAAAAACACCCGTTAACCTTGTAGGCCTAATTGCAAACAATTAGGCTACATTAATATATGTAATTTATATGTATATTAAAATACTGGTAAATATAAACAGCCTATTTAGTTCCCCTCACTCTACAACAAATATTTTAAATTTAACGGTATTCAGAACAGAACAAGAATGAAAAATAAGTAGTTATAAAATTATATTTTAAACTGTAAAATAAAACAAATTAGGCTATAGTGGCATTAATTATAAACAGCATACAAATGTCAAGCAAAACTGAAACGGCATTGGGCTCGAGCCTGTCTCATACCAGAAGAATCCAAATGTTTCCATTTTTGCCATATTTGTAACATTTGTTTGTAGCCTAAACATGGTTTTATACTTCAGTCATGTTCTAATATCCGTGTAAAATTGGGCGCTGCACTCTGATTTTACAGCGGATCTTTTAAAATAAACAGTGTTACTTTTATGTTTGGTTGACTGCATTTGAGTTTGATGATGAATGGCTGAAATGTCAGGCAACGCTAGAACTAATGTTGTCTGTGTGTGCGTGAGGCGCCTGTGTGATCAGATGGATTAAATCAAATAAAGATATAAAGAAAATAAATTAAATGCATTAAGAGTGTCACAAAAACGAGCGTAGCCTATACTTGTTGCACAGTGTTTTTTCCCCTTTTGTTAATATTTTAATTATATTATAACCTATTATATATTTTGTGTGATCCTATTGATTTTATTTCTTTTATAAACTTAATTTCTGTTTTTCTCCTTTCACAGAAGCGCTGCAGGTACATGATGCGACGATTGAATCCTCACGGTTGTTTATGCTGCTATTCGCGCATATAAACTTGCGTACACGAGCTGAGACCAGACGTGAGATTTGATCGTAGCCACCGCTCACGTCCATATTGATAAATTCCATGTTTTGCGTTGAAACGACCGTCGTACTAACTGGCTGCAGTGTTATAAGGTGTCATTGGATAGTGTACACCCGATGGGTCTGCTGCTTGTTGTTGCAATAGCCATTATATTGTCTATGACAGCTGTTTTCTGATAGTTTTTTAAGTGTTGCATTTCACTACTTTTATATCTTTGCCAGTGTGGGCACGCACATACAGAACTTCAGCAGGCCTGCCCTGCCTCTCAGAGCTGCGGATTTCCACTAGGCCCGTTAAAGGGGTCATATGATGCGATTTCAAGTTTTCCTTTCTCTTTGGAGTGTTACAAGCTGATTGTGCATAGATAAGATCCCTGAAGTTGCAAAGACGTTCATGTTTCGTGAACCTAGGAGAGGAGGTAATTCTGACTTTATGACAATCTGGCGCTTCTGAAACAGCTACTGTTTTGTTATTATTTTAAGTATTTGCTATTGACTGTTCAAATGTGGAGTTTTGCACATTGTGTGTGTGTGCGCGTGCACACAGGGTTACATCACAGTGGAGTCAGCTGTCTTAACAGTGGCTTGTGTACTGCAAACACATACCAGCTTCATCACTGTGTCTGTCACGCGACTCTGTTCCCCTTTCTGGCTCTGTCTTTACATTTATTTTGAAAGATGAAGCTCGCGATTATGGTAAGGGGCGTTACATTTCTGACGAGTGCTTGCGGTGTTCGGCCAATCACAATGCACTGGGTCAGCTGGCCAATCAGAGCAGACTGCGCTTGTCTGCTCTGGAGGGACTTTGTAGAAAACGAAACGTTTGAGAGAGGCGGGGCATATAGGACCTACAATAATGTACAGTATTTGAAAAATAATGTGTTTTTTGAACATTAAAGCATGTCAGCATATTCTGTTACACCAAATAATGATCTTTAAAAAGCATCATATGACCCCTTTAAAAAAAAGTTCCATATGAAAGACACAGATGGCCCTGTCTCAACGGTGTAAAGCTTAATTTCGTGCAGGCTTCAAAATGCCCCAGTGTTTTCAGAACACTCCCTCAGACTGTTCGCACTGTATCATTATCTGGCAGGTTGGGACTGCTTCACATGTGACCACTTTAACTGTAATTGAAAGTGCGTGTTCCTGCAGGGGCCCCACACTTGTGCTCAACGCATATCTTGGTGACTCGCAAATGCCTAGAAGTGCTG